ATGAATAATAGTATCTTATAATATTAGTAATTAGTTGTAATTTAGCTCTGGAGGTTTCAAAATGAAGTAAAAATTGCAAAAGTGAATAAATTCACTAAAATATTCATAATTTAATTGATCAATAACTAATGAATGTGCTCACTTTTGTAATTTTCACCTCGTTTCGAGATATATAATCGACTCTCTGGTGTCTTCCTCAGATTCCCAGCCGAGACAATATTTTTCGCAATAAGTTTATTACAGTTTGTTAAATTTGGGAAATTTGAGGGCATTATTAATATTGATTGCGTTGAAAGTACGACAACCATATCGGCACACAATTATCATTTCTGAAATTAATTCATTTATATGAATACATATAATAATTCAACATCTTAACATTCAGACCGTAGTGGCGCTTCGTATTTAAAGTAATATATTTAACATAAACAATCTTGTTTTCAATCTTATTGAAATTAGATCTTATTATAAAATAAATATTATAGTAAATTTGTTCACTTTTATAATTTTCACCTTTTATAATTTTCATCTCATTTCAAGATACACAATCGATCCTCCAATTTATTAAAACAAATAAATAAAAAACGATAATTGACAGTCAAGATTTTGATGTTTAATAATATTTTCTATCAAATTTTAAATACATCTTTCAGTTATATAAACTGTGCGTCGATTACTGTCAAACTTGAAATGCAAACATAAACTGAAATTGAAATAATAAAAAATAAATTGATCGTGAAATTTAGTAATTATACTAAAATAAGTATCTTAAGATATTGCAAAGAACTCATAGCAAAACAATATTTATTGTTAAATATTGACACTTATAATTTGATGTTGAATCTTCGTTCAGTCTTGTTGTAATAGTTCGCATAGCTCGAAATAATAATTTCATAAAAAATTTGAATATCACGATTCCCTAATTTAAAAATAGTAATAAAAAAAAATAAATAAAAGAGCTCAAGGAAATAGGCGCTGTTCAGAGTATGCAAATTGTTCAAAGAATTCTCTCAATATAAAAATCTCAATATAAAAATTAAATTTATTAAAGAGACGACAGAATAAAAAATCGTTAAACAATATATAATAAATTTTCGTTTCGATTAGTCTTCTAACCTTCTTTTAGCGATAATAAACACAAAAGTTACATATTTAAACTGCCTACGTATTGAGAGAATTCTTTGAACAATTTGCGCACTCTGAATAGCGCTTATTTCCTCGAGCCCTTTTATTTATTTTTTAATAATTTCATAGCTGGTACGTATTTACGTATTAACTGATTTTTCGATAATAAATTTCACGATACACTCGATCTTTCTGCTTTTATTATAAAGAAAAGTAGGATTCAAGATGTCGGCTTTCAATTGATTTTATAGTGTTCAATTTGATTTTTGCAATGAATTGCACATTCGTGTTGCGGAATGCAATGAGTTGCTATAATAAGTAAATTTTGCATTGATAAGGAATAGTTTTAGAACTTGATACGACTTCTGAATTGCAATATTGGCACATTCTGCGCCTTTGATGCATCGATTCGATGACGATGATCGTCTTTTCTCTCCCTTTGTGACTCATAAGATCAAATCGGTTTCTCCTACTTACTTGAGAATTGAGAGGGCTTCTGGCAGCGGTAGAGGGGCCTGGCGATGAGGTCCAGCGAACTTATCAGTTGGAGTGTGGCTGCTGTGCAATGTTGTGGATCGTGTTGCATCTTGCACCTCGAGTAAATCGTGTTTCACAGCGAGAAATAACGTGCTTCAAAGGAAGCGAAGCCTGATCATTGCATATTAAAACCGGCGGTGGTATAACGTCGGAAATTCTCTCTCCCTCTCTCTCCCTTCACCCTTTTCCTAGCAAGACTTTACTGATTCGTGTGTGTATGTGTCGGTAACGCGTAACATCGACGAGAAGCAACGGGGAAGTCACGCAAGCAACAACGGTAACGCGTGAATGTTTTTATTTGCCACACGCAATATTACTGCCATACATGAATCGATCTTTTAACGCGACTTTAATCATGACAATCCTAGCTTCCTTTGTAGAAATAATTTTACTGCTGTGGATGTTTATTAAGCTTCTAACGACGCTATGGGAAAATCAAAAAAAGACATAAGACAGAAATAATATTTTCAACAAATATTTATTACAAACATGTAGATTGTTAAAAATCCTAAAATATTTTAATTTTCGGCATTGTCTTTTTCTCCTAAAAAAGTAGGAGCACCGCATATATATACCTAAGTGCTAGGGAAAACAACATTTTGGCTGTATAATATTATTTTTATAAAAATTGACATAGTGTGCGATATTGATGAAGACGACGAAAACAGAAGAGAATCGTGTAAATGAAAGTTTCTGAAAACAATTTTTTTTTTCTTTTTAGATATCACATATATGGACTCACATGTTCCTTGTAATACATAATGTAAAGAAATTTTTTATAAAATGTACAACACAAAAATTATATCTATATTTATATTGATAGCGTATGCAAGTAGAAATGTAAATATAAAATATTTGTAATCCAGTTTTAGCAGAATCTGCTGATTGACGTGTCTATCACAAAATTATTTGATTGCACATCAAAAATTAAAAGGAGAAAAACTTAAGTAACATATTAGATGTAGTAAAAAGAAATCCATTATTTTTCCATTCAATTTCATGCAAAAATAATGGGTTTCTTTTTACTACATCTAATATAATTACATTTAGATTTACACAGTAATGCTTAGTTTATGTTTCGGTCGTAACATTAAAATCCTAAAATTCAGCCAATAGAGCTGCCAGCTCTTTTAATTGATCCTAATTGAAATATGTATTCCATTGGCTAAATTTTAGAATTAGGATCGAAATATAAACTAAGCATAAGAGTATTCTTTCTTTTTTCTCCAATGCTCTTAAAAATTTTTAACTGATAACATTTATAAATTTTACTAGCGTTTTACTTCTACTAATTTCTTTACAGCAAGAGCTAATAACTATAGCGAGATTAACAATTGTGAATTATTCACATTTAAATTTTTGAAGCATCAAGAATATTTTTCAGATATTTTTTCATATCTTGGTTATATCAGTTAAAAATATTTTTTTGTATAATTATTGCTATAAAAATGTTTAGATCTTTATTTATAATAAGCCAACTTTTTTTCTTCATGGAATTGAAATTTCATATATCACGCTGATATTCAATTCGCTTGAAGTATCACACAATTTTCGTTCATTTGTTTAAATAAAGAAAAAATGCTAATGAAATGATGATAGCGAGAAAAAAAAATGATAATGAAAGTTTGCTCTTTTTTGTCGATTTTAAATGTAATAAAATAAGGGTTTTGATATGCACTGCCAGTACTGAAAATCTATAGTTTACGTTACGTATACTGTAGATTTTATTGGCAGTGTATATCGGAACACGCCTTAAATCAATGTTTAGGAAATATAATAAAATATTTCTGTCTTTAAATTTGAAAAAAATTAAATTAATTAATTTAAAAGGAAAACAAAAAGAATATATGTTGGCACATTGATGCCTTTTTCCTCAGGACTTTTAATTGTTATTCACTTTCAATCCACTGATATATGGCAGATCGTCCGATTGCTTCCATGTTTCAAAGAAATCTTGATGTGTGTCCCGAGGATATACTGGTGGAGCATATACCCAGTATTTTTCCAAGTTGTTATTCATTTCCGGTAAATCGTTGTAGAGTTCGATCCCATAACGCTGCAAATCTTCGAAATAAATACCCAACTTTTTATCAAATGAATTTGCCAAAAATTGATAATCGCTTTCAGTCACAGTCATAAATGGTGAATAATCGGACGGTTCAAAATTCGTAAACGCGACGCTGTATTTTTCTGGATAAATGCTCGGCTTCAACTGCGAAGGCAACGTAAATGTGTCGCTTACAACGTTTTGAACTAGCATCTCTCTTTCAATGCGATTAGGTGATTCGTGATTGATATCGCTTTGTGTATTTCCTCTTATTATTCGCAGTACTTCCTGCACGTCGTCATCAACGTTCGAATTAGCTTTCGACGGCTCGGTTTTTTTGCCCGGTAGAGATAACGAAGGAAATAAACGCATCGTTGCATCTGTATTAAGATCATAACTCTTTCCATTGTTATTACTATCACTTGTTATCTCCATAGAATCTACTACAGAATTGGCCAACCCAGTGGTTTCTTTGGTCCCTACAACTTCATCAAACCATCTGACAGAATAGCGAGGACATTCGCTGGACCGAGAATTTTGTTTAAACATAGATTCGTCGAACGCTTTTGATTGACAGGCGAGAAGAACTTCGGTATCGTCATGATCGTCACCAAGTAAAATCTCGCTCTGACAATACATGTTTCTTCTTTCCAACTCGTTTATCCTTCGCGAATTTTCTTTATCGGGGACGCTATTAGAAAAAGTTTCGATAAGCACGTCTGTCGCAGTTTGAGAATCAAGATAGCAATGATCTTTGTTCCCTTGGCATGTATTGTCGCTAACGGGGATTGCGTCTTTGTGCGGCGTATTCGAGATCTCTACGAGACTCTTCCCCACTTCGGCGGTGCAACTAGCTATCGTGTCGTCTTTGGTAGACGCGAATTTACCTACAATGTATCGATTCGCAGCTTCGTGGGGCCGTATACTGTATTGCATATGACTCTTGTCCACAACATGGTTCGGGAGAGACAAATCAATATTCCTAGCGCAGTCATCTTGACGTCTTTCATTTTTAAGGGAATCCGAAGTTTCGCAAACATTGACGAGACACCCGAGACTGTTCTCGATGTATCTCCGATCTAGATTCACGTCTGTCGTCGTCACACCGTTCAGTTTGAATTTTATGCGTACCATCTCCTTTCGGCGTTTTCCTCTGTTCTTGATCACATGTTTGTGTATCAGTCGCTTGTGGAATCTCAGATCCGAAACGATCCCAAAAGTCATGTCGCACACGTCGCATCTCTGGCTGATATCCTCGAGATTCATCTCGGAATGATCCAGGATGCCCATTAGCGATCTTATAGCTCCATTGTGTCGCCATCGCGTGTGCAGAGCGACGTCGCTTTCGCATTTGAAGTCCCTGCCGCATATTCTGCATGTACTTCCGATGATGACGACGCTGCATTCTCGTAAAGTTATGGTAGCTGGGACGCGAAAGCCTCTTGCGTTTGATTGCACGTCCGCGTTACGCATCTCGTTGGTGCTAACGGAAAAATGTCCTCGGCCATGAGCCGTCGGCTGTCCTCCCTTCTTCTGTCTACCGCCGTCGCCGCCGCCGCCGCCGCTTCACCGCCGACGTTTCGCCGAGCGTCCTCCTGCGAGCTTACGATCACGCGGCGCAGGGCGCAATAACTACCGCCGATGATGGGATATAGCTTGTCGCTCGTCGCCGATAAACTTCGTCCATCAGTAATAAAACTTCGTCTGACTTCGTCCTGGCTCGAATGTAGCGCCACCTCGTGTCTATAGATACGATGCAACCTAATATCGAGATATAAACATTTGCCAATTGTGCGCGATCGTGTTGTGTCGATGTGTTGTTATACGAGCGCGGAGAGAAATTCAACTGTTACCTGAAATCATGTTTCGATAATATCTAACCCATTGACGAAGATAAATAAGATCTGTGATGTGTGTTTATGCGTGCTTTTCTTTTCCTATGATCCCTATACGAAGTAAACAGAATATTTGAGTAGTCTAATACGAGGATTCGTAACGAAAAGTTATTTTTTAACTCACTAAAGAATCACAGACTTCTATAAAATTAGACTTTTGTAGAAGTTTGCGATTGGAACCGATTCTCCGAATTAAAATAACGTACAAAATTAAATGTTAAATATACAAAGCTTATACGAATGACTAAGATTGAAATAGCAATCTTTAGCGACATTCGTTTTCACTCACTACTACTATCTTGGATTGTGATATTAGAACCGAGAACATATACAATAAAAGTTCTTGCAAAATATATGGAAATATATTAATATGGAAATATATTTCAATAAGTAATACTTATATAGAATTGTAAAAAATATGCCGAAAATTCCTTTTATTTCATTAATAAATAATCATATATTCAGAAATGAATTATACACAATAAAAAACGAAATATATTCACAGCTGTCAAATTATT